TATATATCTTAATTTTTTATTTCAGTTTTAGTTTGTAATTTTAACATTTCCATGGCAAAATGTCTAATTTCCACAAGTTTCGCAAAGTTATCACAAAGTTTTGCATCAAATACTTATAATTTATTTAGAAGCTTTATTTCAATGACTGAAATTTGTTTTTAATGTTTTTATTTACAACAACCACACCAATTGTGACAAGATAATTATTCCACTTATATTAATATAAAGACAAATATTTATAAAAAATTCCAAGTTTTCATCCAAAAAAACAGAACCCAGTAACTCAAACTTAAATTTTAACTAGTCAAAAAGAATATGAGGTGATAACGATAAACAAACATGGAACAAAATTCAGAGCTGTGCAGAAAATCAATAAATATGTGTCAGCCAATCAAGATGAAGAAATTTAACAATAAGAATTAAACCAATAAAAATCAATGTAAAAAGCAAAATATTGTGGTATTAAGTATAAGCATTTTTACTAATGTGACCAAGACCCCGTGGATGGAGAAAAATAATACCAATCAATAACATTTTACTTTTAAACATCCAATAACATCTTTTAAACATCCAATCATATCCTCACAGATAATCTTAGATCCCATCCTACAATAGTGAATATTCTTTTATTCAGTTGTGAATAGTATTCCATGTTGCCTTCAGTTACAAAATGTAAAAATGACATATAAACAAAAGCTGTTTTTATTCATCAATACATAAGTGAGAATTCTGGGTAATCCTGACCTGTCATGTTGTAGTGCATCCAATTGAGCATGATCTCTGGGGCACGGTACCATCGGGTGGCAACGTATCCCGTCATCTCATCGTCAGTCAGCCGGGCCAGCCCAAAGTCCAGAATCTGAGCACAGATAGCAGAGCAAGCATTAGCCATAAACTAGACTTATCAGCGCTCATATTACACTGTGTTGGTCAACAGAGCATAATAATAACAGATGTGACAGTGTAAAAAGCAACAGATGATGATGATGATGATGATGGCAGAGCTCTTGGCAATCAGAGCAAGCTTAGATTAACATGCTCTCACCTTAAGTTCACAGTCTTCATTTACAGCCAAGTTACTGGGTTTAAGATCCTGTATGATAGGAAAAGATGAGCAGAGAGAAGGTGTAAGTGAGAATCACTCCATGTTTTGCTACAAATGGCTTTCATGCACTAATAAAAGTCATCCTGGGAGCTGAAATCAGGTCACGGAAGAAATAACCTCAATTATAAACCATAAAGGTGTTTACACAAGCAGTGGTGCAGATGAAACCCTAAAACCTGCAACAAAACTCACATTCTGGACTAATGAGAAGAAAAACAAATTCGTACTGACAGCTATAAGTTTCAATCAAATCTGTCTAAAATTCTCACTTGCATTTCCATCCCTACACATCTTAAAGGAACAGTTCACCAAAAATGGACATTTGCTGAACATTTACTCACCATCAGGCCATCCAAGATGTGGATGAGTTTGTTTCTTCATCGGAACAGATTTGGAGAAATGTAACATTACATCACTTGCTCACCAATGGATCCTCTGCAGTGAATGGGTGCCGTCAGAATGAGAGTCTAAACAGCTGATAAAAACATCACAATAATCCACACCACTCCAGTCCATCAATTAACATCTTGTGAAGTGAAAAGCTGTGTTTGTAAGAGACAAATAAGACGTTTTTAACTTTAAACCATTGCTTCCAGCTAAAATATGAGTCCTCTATCTATAATATTGCTTTCTCCAGTGAAAAAGTCATCTCTTCTGAATCAGGAGAGTAATCTGCACAGATCAAGCAACGTTTACAAGCAAAAACAGTCCAAAACAGTGTCAGTGGATTTTGATGTGAGATTTTGATGTGAGATGGACTTTTTCACTGGAGGAAGCATTATTATGGATTATGGACTGGTATTTTGGCCAGAGTTAAAATGTCTAATGCTAGGTTTGTTTCTTACAAACATGCAACTTTTGGCTTCACAAATCATTAATTAATGTACTGGAGTGGTGTGGAATACTTGTGGATTATTGTGATGTTTTTACCAGCTGTTTCATTCTGACGGCACCCATTCACTGCAGAGGATCCATTGGTGAGCAAGTGATGTAATGCTACATTTCTCCAAATCTGTTCCAATGAAGAAACAAACTCATCTACATATTGGATGGCCTGAGGGGGGAGTAATTTTTCAGCAAATTTTCATTTTTTGGGAGAACTATTCTTTCTATTCAGTGATTAAGCCAGAAATTGAATAAATGAATCTCTGAAGTGAATTTATAAAGGAGGATCTCTGTAGTTTTCCCCAGATATTTTATTAAGTATATAATGTCCATAAACTTTAATATTTAATAAAATACCTAAAATAAAATATAATTTTTTTTAGTTTCCAAAATATGACTCTAAAACAACACTAGAGACTATTTAAAAAGTAATAACCTCACATTGCTCATAAATAAATGAAGTAATGAACAGAAAGTGTGGTCTACTCACTCTGTGGATGATGTCTGCTGAGTGAATATACTGCAGAGAGAAAGACAGATGAACTCACTTCAGTCAAATACAGAGATCAATGAGAACCAATTACCTGCAGGCTAAACGTCTGAGCGAAGCACACTTTAGATCAACACGTTACACCAAAACAGTCCTTCATACTCTAGTTCATTCTCCTAAGTACTACGAACACGACATAATTATCTTTTAAATTAACACCAGAGAGAGTGAATTATAGCAATTGCGCAGTGAATGATGAAGAGCAGCGTTAAAGGGAAAAAAAGGTTAACAAAGTCATGATGTAGCGGAAGTAGCGACAGAACTTTTCTCCAGTGTTGTGACGTTCAGTACATCTGAGCAGTGTTGGGGGTAACGCATTACAAGTAACGCGAGTTACGTAATCAGATTACTTTCTGTCCAGATTTGAAAAGTAACGCAAAAGTAACATAACGCATTACTTTCCATAAAAAGTAACTAAGTACCGTAATTAGTTACTTTTTTTATGGAGTAACGCAATATTGTAATGCATTACTTTTAAAAGTAACTTTCCCCAACACTGCATCTGAGTGAAACAGATTATTGAAAAACAGTAGGGTAGGAACGTGGTTCTGTCCATTAGGGATGGGCATTTTTCAAAAATATTGTATTTGAATATTTGGGATCATAAAAAAACGAATATTCAAATATTACTTTATTTAAATAACGTTTAACAAAAAAAGACGTTATTTTTTAATTATCAAGTTTTTGTCACCATTTCTGAACAAGCTTACATATATATATATATATATATATGTTAGGGCTGTCAATCGATTAAAAATATTTAATCGTGATTAATTGCACGATCGTCATGAGTTAACTCGTGATTAATCGCAACTTAATCGCACATTTTTATCTGTTCTAAATGTACCGTAAATGAATACTTTTCAAGTTTTTAATACTCTAATCAACATGGGCATGGACAAATATGGATGCTTTATGCAAACTAATCTGGCTTTTATGCTGCATTACATCTTTACACATTTTTGAGCAGGCACAGAGCAGCATTAACTCAGCTCTGAAAACATAGTTCTTTGGTTGATTTTCTGATTGGAATCTTATTTATAACCTCTTATTATGAGGTTTATAACATTGAATGGTCCAATACAGTACAAGTGCACAATTGCAATGATTGCAATTATTCAATCTAATTGCAGATATTGTTGAGAACTTTAATAAACATAGCTTAAAAGATATTGCGAACACAACATTTCGGTATAATATAACGGTATATATATTTTTGAAGTCAGACCACCATAAAATGATATGTGACATTGAAGAATTTAAGAAATGTACATTCTACACATTCTAACATTCACAACAAAAATAACATATTACAGTTATACCAACTAAATTATCATATAAAATGTTGAACTCCAAAAATGAAACTAAAGTTAAGGAAAAATATATATATTTGAAAAAATATTATTGTATTCAAAATTATAGTCATTATATTATTTACTAATGATAATTAATCATGATATATTCTACCCCATGATTATACATGTTTGCAAAGCCTTCTTCTTAAGGTATATGTGTGCTTTAAGCTTACAATGCAAGTAACATGTACAAAAGAGATAATTATAATTATTAGTAAGACAATTTATCACCCAAAATTTCATAACTGCAACAGCTCATATGAAACTATTGCCAAGGCAACCAATTTTTTTCTATAATTCCCTGAATGTGCTCTTATTCTCTTTTGTATGTGTTAATTGTTTTAAGAGGCAGTTATATTATAAGGCAATAACATTTTGCAGGTTATTGCATATGTGCCTATGAGGAAATTATGCTGAGCGGATGAATCCGTGTTGCCATGGTAACTACGGATATTCCCAACACATGTGCAGCCACGATGTTCCTCACCCCTCCCAGAGCAGAACTCGACAGGTGCTGCTTTTCGATTATCGCACTGACAGCTGGATGCAAAGCACTTGAACGTAACCGGGTTTAACCGGTCCTTCACCACACAGTGGGCACCATCAGGACAATGTCTAATTAAGATTTTATTGAGTAATGCAGGGTTGTGCACTGGAGACACCTACACATTGAATAATTACCGCACGCCGCACGCTACTGAGGTGTGGCAGCTACGCCAGAGTAATTACTGGAGTGTGCCACTACATATCAGCTGTTACTCTGTTTCTCAGTATGGCTCAGAAACCACAGACCTGCAACCCATAATACAGCATGCAACCTTTTACAACAACATTTCCTAGAAGAACGTTTTTGATGCAGGGATGAAAACAGATAAGTTAACAATCTGGGAACTTAAGTCAGACCACCTTCTAGAATTAAACCAAATACTCACACGTCATTGAATCCTGATAGACAGGTAGAGGGCGTGAAAACATCTAGTAGACCAATTACCTGCAACAAAGACAAGAGTCATAGAAAATTAGTCTGAAACATGACAACATTATAAGGTTAAGGTCAAATCATTTAAAGTCTAAACTGTTTTTGTTCAATTCCTTGAGTGTGCACCAGAGTTATTTTAGTTAACTAAAACTTAAGCCAAAAAATAAAAATAAAACTTTTTGTTACTTGAAATTATGGAAGCCCATTTCCGCCACTGAATAAAAAATAAAGCAAAGTAACTGACTTTTTATTTCGCAATTCTGACTTTTTCTCACAATTGTGAGCTATAAACTCGCAATTGTAAGAAAATAGTCTTTTTTCCCCACAGAATTGGACTTTAGTTTATATCACGCAATTCTGACTTCAGAACTCGCAATTGCAAAAAGTCATAATTGCGAGATGTGTAGCGAATCAGCTCATGGGGAAATATGAATAATTAATCATAACTAGTTATAATTAATTATAAATATTTAGATCCGCTGTAGATATTTACTTGACCTCTCAGGGTCAACTGTCTGTCAATTCTAAGAACGTTAATTTCCTGGTTAAGGGAAATTACTTTCTTACTGTACAATTCTACAACTCGCAATTGCGAGAAAAAAAAAGTCAGAATTGTGACAAAGTGTCGCAATAACTTTTTTCTTTTTTAATCAGTGATGGAAATGGGCTTCCATATGAAAAAAAAAATGTTAACTGAAATAGGAAAAAAAATAGCAAAAGAATAAAATACTTTAATTCAGCTAGTTCTCAAGGAAACATTTCCCATTTTCATTTAGTTTAACGATGTAATAAAATAACTAAAACTAATAATGAAATAAACTATACAGACATTATAAATAAAAAACTAAATATTAATAATTAAAAAATTAACAAAAAATGTAATAAAAACAGAAAATAAAAAAATAGAAACTTCAAACTAAGGATGTCCAAATCAGGTTTTTAGAGGCTTGTATTTTCTGAGTCACTTCAAATACATTAAAGTTAAAAAGTTATTAAAATCAATCCAGTTTATACAGGGATGTGCAGAGAGGGGCTCAAAAGTTCGAAGCAAGACACAACCCATAGCAACGCATTATGACAACGACATCTCAGATAGATAAGAATTAACTGTAAATAAACAATTTTCAAGTGAATTGTTACAAAAGTGCTCATCAAATACGTTAAACACAGAAGCGGGATTAGAATATTAGATACCAATCAGTTAAAAAAAAGCTTATTCGGCCCTGAGATTGGCTCGGGACATCCCGAATTCAAACTATTAATAAAATCTATAAAAGTATCTCATTGTTAATAAAATAACACTGGTGTACAATTCTGCACTTTAAACACATGTACAAGAAAATAAGCTGTACTTGTACATCATCTGTCATGACTGCCGTTGTTTTCTTGATGTTGGTGAGCATGCGGCCCACTGCGGTTCATCTCAGAGGAAATGGCACACAGAGTGAGATGTGTTGCATCCTCTGTGAAACTTTCATTTAGATTTTGTGTGGGCATTACCTTTATCTCTCTCTCTCTCTCTCTGCAAGAGGAGGAGTGGGTGAATTACATACTGGTTAAACTGTTGTTGCACTTCTGCCCACAGTAACATTTGTAAACTTTGGCCAACCTTGGCTGACAGACAGTGTTTTGGGCAAAGCGGCAACCATTAATTACACTTCCGTTCAAAAGTTTGGGGGAAGATTTTTTTATAAAGTCATCTCAATTATTCTCCAAGGCTGCATTTATCTGATAAAAATACATTGCAAACTGTAATATTGTAAAAATGCAATTCTGATTATTATATATATGTTGAAAACAGTTGTGCAGAGTTTTCCTCATTCATTCTGGTTAGTGGTTTACATTCCGTAAGCGCACGTGATCAGATCGCAGACACAGCAACAACACCCGGACTCTGTTATAATCATTCTCGGGGACTTTAATAAAGCAAACCTCACACGTGAACTGCCATAATTCAAACAACACATTATATGCCCCACCAGAGACAAAAATATTTTGGACCACTGCTACACCACAATAAAGGATGCGTATCGCTCCGTCCCCAGAGCAGCTTTAGGCCTCTCTGACCACTGCCTGGTTCATCTTCTCCCAACATACAGGCAAAAACTTAAATCTGCTAAGCCTCTAGTAAGGACTGTAAAGAGATGGACCAATGAAACAGAGTGGGTATTACAAGCCTGTTTCGACTGCACTGATTGGAGCGTTTTTGAATCATCTGGTTGGTGCTACAGAGAACCGAACACCAGGACATCCAGGCACAAAAAAAAAAGTTTCTTTCCCCAGGCAATCTACCTCATGAGCAGTTAAATGCTCTCCCCATTGTGCAATACCACTTATATTTATTTGATACCACCTATCTTAGTCCATCCCTACATCTTACTCTATTCTATTCCATCTATAGCACACGTGAAGACCTTAGCTTCTGTGTGTGTGTTTTTCTCAAACTAAGTGGTAATATGCTCATGAAAAGACTCTGAGCAGTTGGAGATGAATTTCATGCGTTCATGTCGTCATAGGCTGAAAACACCACGAGTGGCACGCATGCTGCTTCAGTATATTTGTAGCAAATGAAGCCATTCATTCACACGGAGAAATGCAGAACATGCAGGATTCATATTTAAATAGTCTTTACGCCTTTAATATTTACAGACATTAGTCTATATCATTGTGAAGACCTTAGCTTCTGTGTGTGTTTTTCTCAAACTAAGTGGTAAAATGCTCATGAAAAGACTCTGAGCAGTTGGAGATGAATTTCATGCGTTCACATCGTCATAGGCTGAAAACACCACGAGTGGCACGCATGCTGCTTCAGTATATTTGTAGCAAATGAAGCCAAAACATGCAGGATTCATATTTAAATAGTCTTTACGCCTTTAATATTTACAGACATTAGTCTATATCATGATTTGATTTAAGTGTACTGACCTACTTTTGATTTATTTATCCAAAATTTGACAAATTCCGTGACATTCCGTGTTATTAATGACTGGATTCCGCGATTCTGTATACGCTTTCCGCATCACGGAAACATAAGGACCTATATCCTGAGGCATTTTGAACAGAATTAGATAGATCTGTCGTAAAGATATTTAAAAAGGCTATAATCATGAAAAAGAAAAAAAATTTTTTTTATATATATATATATATATATTAAGCACAACACGTACATTATGCAGTTTTGATTTGCAGTGCAGTGCATTATACATTAATAGTGCATAATCTCTCCCCTTTCCCTCATTAGCTCACAGACAACGATCAATAGTTTCATAACGCACAGTGCTGGCAGAAGATGTGAGGATGCTCTAATAGTCATGAGAGAGGAAGTACAGGAAGTCACAGATTTTGAGGAAAAGAAAAGAGGTTCAGGTTCTGTGAGAACTTCAGAAATGCAGTACAAGCCTTTCAAAAGAGGATCTGTATTGCATATGTCAGTGAAAAAAAAAAGAGCTGAAAACATCTCTTACATTCTCGTGTTTCATGTGTTTGAGGAGCCGCAGTTCTCTGTATGTGCGCTTGGCGTGGATGATGGACTGGAACGGCCGGGACAGCTTCTTGACTGCGATCCTCAGGCCTGTCTTTGTGTCTAACGCGGAGCTGCGGAAAAAAGAACAACATGTTATGGATTCGATCAACACCGCAGACTGCAAGATTACCGGAGAGTTTACTCCAAGATTCACAAGCATTCCAAGGAAAAATGATACTGTAGGAACGTTTTGTTAAAGGAAACCTAGGAACATTCCTAAAGGGTTATGTTTGAAATGGTAAGATCATTGGAAATGGACATCTGAAATGCTCCATTACCATAATAGAAGTGGTGTGTTTTCATACAGCAAGAGTAAGAACAAGAATTCTCATATACTATTTTTTTTATATGAAGTAGTTGTAAAGAGGTGGTTGTCAGGGCATTGCTATGTGGTTGCTAGGG